CACTTTGATGGCCTTAACAGAGGGAAGTCACGTGTCCCTCTTCTCTCTATCTCCCTCCTAACTCCTTTTCAGCTTTAGCTAACTAGTCATAGTTTGTGTTCAGTGAATTCTTTGAGTAAAGTTTCATAAACTAGTATAGTTGTTGGATATATTACTTACTACAAAGGCTTCTCAACTTCTAACGTAGATGCTGCTTGTGCAGGTTCTTGATCTTTCATGTGATGGTTTGCCTTTCTTAAATGGGATTTCCTAGAATTCTGGCATCTTCATTGTCACTGGAAGTTCCATGATACATGCTTATTGAAGATTTACATGCTTGAAAATTGATTCTGCTAATATTCAGTTGATTGCACAGGTATTCCTGTATAGCAGTTCCTCGTAGTATGACAATTTTTCAAGGATTTTGCCAGGGTTTATTTGAAGCATGAATGTTATTTAAAGGGTTTCTTTGTGGTTCCTAAACAGGAGAATGATTTCAAAAGGTTCTTTAAAGTTCTTAGATTTAAAATTGCTAGTTTTTCCATGGTTCTTAGACAAAATTTATTTCTATGGTTTCTTGGAGAAGTGAATGTTTTTCCAGGGGTTTATTCTGGGTTTAAAATATGAATATTTTTCAGGGGTTTTTCTGTCTATTTCTTTAAAAAAATAAACATTATTTCAAGGGTTTTTCGGAGAGCTTCTTTGAGGCAATATCTTAATTTCAGTGATTTTTTCCGTGGGTTTCTTTGATATATAAAAAAAAATTTTAATTGAGATCTTGGAAACATGAACATAATTCTAGTGGTTTCTTCAGAATATGAACATTATTTCAGGCAGTTCTCCATGTTCCTGTAGAAGGTTGAGTGGTCTCAAGACATGTCGTCAGCCTAGAGTGCTGGAGGTCCCAGGTTCAGGCCCCAGTGAAGGCCAGGGTTTTTTCATGTAGACTTCTTGAAATGTCCAATAGTCTCTGGGAAGTAAGATCGGATGCCCGTGAGCATTACTGCGTGTGAAAACAAATCCCTTGGCAGTCAGAAGTTTAAAAGAGTGGCTTAATATCACTGCCAGGGCGAAATTTTGAGTTAAAAATCTGCCCAAAGTAGTTCAGGATCTTTGCCAGTGCTATGGAGTTCATGCACTGCGTTGAGTTTCTTCGGACTTAGGCTTGAGTTAGAAGTAGAACAGAGCACTTATATGTTACCACGTTTGTGCCATGATGTTGATCCTTTTCTTCAAAACTAAAAACCAAAACCAAGAGCACCATGCAGGAAGCACAGAAAAAGCATAAACCAACACAGAACTGGTGTCCTCAGCTGCTAAACACTGCAGGATTTACTGAGCAGGGGATCAGAACACTTATGAGCTGAATGGTTCGGTGTGCAACAAAGGATAATTTGTCGACTAACTATCAGTTGCCATAACCCCACCCCCCCCCCCAATGTGGCTAGTCCAGACCACCTGCTTGCCTGCTCCTCCACAGACATTCCTGCATCAACCAGGCGAAATATCCATGTGACCTGGATTGATGTAACACATTCCACACCTTCCATATGACCAATACCTGATTCAGCCTTCCTGCACATACTCTGTGAATCCAATACCATGACAACATGTGTGACCGAGATTACCTCCCCCTACTGGAATGTCGCAGTGACCATCTCAACCTCAAATATGATGTTTAAAAAAAAAGTTAGTTGCGTATCCTTTACAGGACGTTGCAGAACCAACCCCAACATTTTTTGGCTGTTGTGGTTTTTCTAGGCAAAATTACGTCCAGTAGTTTGCCACTGCTTTCTGGACGGTCAGCTTCTCCGGTTGTGAAGCTAGATGTGATATTGACGTAACTCTCCTCAGTGCTGTATTTTGTAATTCTGATCAGATTCACTGCAGTCACTCTTATTTACAATCTAGCCAAACCTGTCTTTTCTGTGGAGAATTAAATCAGCAGATTTGTGGAGTCTTCCACTATAAAACCTTGTTTGGTTACTCCTTGTTTATTATAAGGTATTTCCTTTTCTCGGCTGCCTCTTTTTTCCACCACATATAAGTTTGAGTTGTCTTTTTCTCCTCCCAAAAATAAGCTGCTGTGTCTTTTTTTCTGCTGCCATGAGTTTTCTCCTTAACCTTTGCCTTTTTCTTAGTCATCATTGTCATCATCCTCCTCTTTCTCCTAACTCTGCCTCTCCACCCCTTCTGGCATCTGTGACTTTGCTCTACTCTTATTTTATATTCCTTCAGCCTTGTTAATATTCATATTTTTTCTTTTTTATCTCATCAGGTGCACTACTATAGAGTTACATCAACACATAAATTGGAAAATAAAAACAAAAACATAAAATGGAATTGATTCCTCTGAAAAACACATCACGTGGTCTCAATACACTGTTCATTTAATCACCGGAAGTTCACAATAGTCATGTGTCTCACCAGGGTAACTTGAGATTTATAATGAACTCTTTCTGTTGACACAAGGGAGAATTGGTTATTTCTATTGTTAAATCTTTAGGTAGTGTAAGCATTCAACATTTTTCATTGTCCCTTGAAACATGGAAGCTAAATAGCACAAGTGGCCAGAAATTGTGCCTGCCAGCCTTCTGGTCATTTGACTGAACTTTCCTCAATTTCTAATCACTCAAAAACAGGTTGTTGTTGGCATTTTTCTGTCTTTCCAGTCGATAGTAGACTAAGAACGTGGTAGTATCATACTGAGCTATGAAGGCGTTTGGAGGGGAAGATAGGAATTACAGCCCATAGTGACATTAAGGTCAGTAATAAAGTTCCTCGTCTTCATAGCACAAAGCCTGTTGCCATTTGGCATTATTCCTCCCTTGGCTTGTCTTGTTTACTACAAAAGAAAGGTAACACCAGTATGTTTGGAACAAGGCATGCTGCAGAAGCTGTTTGATTTGAAGAGCAATGCTCTGTATGTCCCTCTGTCAGAGCTTCCCTCCTAGCTCGACTAGCTGCCAATCAAAGCTAAAGGTCAGGTGTGCCCTTCCACAACATCAAGTTTTTAGGTTGTCTTTCCCCTTCCTATGATAAAGCTAGTATCCTCCCCCTCCCTCCCCCCCCCCCCCTTCCCTCCCTTCCATGTGCTCCTCTGCCCAAAGCCAGTGGTACAATGTATGATTTCAGTTTTACTATATGCTGCGCAACATTTCAGTAGTACTGACTCAAAGATTGCATAATTTTTTTAATGTATAATTTAATTTTTCTGTTATTAAAAAAAATGCACGATCTTTATGTACAAATAGTTTTACAACCAAACACATAATTTTATTTAGTTATTACATAACCATTTTGAGAATAACAGTCAGTTTTTGTCTTCTGATAGTAATCTGGCTGGCGCTCAACATTCAGGGAAAGGATGAAACAGATATACAATTACTGCTGAAGATGGGGACTGAGCACTGATGGGAGTGTCCTGAGTTCTGTGATGGCGATTCTTGATTCAACATTATATAAAAGTAATGAAATATACTTCCAAAATGAATGAAATGTTATGCAATACATTATGATAATCTCAACAACGACAAATTACTCAGATATAATAGAAAAAATAAAAATCCACATCAACCAGTTACTGTAGTATTTGTCAACACACTTTCAACTTAGACAATCAGCTAGTAATACTAAAGTGAATATTTTATGCAGGATAAGCATCTATTATATCATATATTCTGTACAATGTGTGAGACAAGGAGCCAAGGTGGCCTAAGCACTAAACACCAGCTTGCTGGCCTGAAGGTTCTGGGTTCAAATCCTCAACAAGCAAGAGTTTTGAACTGACCTAAGAACTGTAAAACTTAGCACTACTTGTGTACACGTCATCATGGTGGCTTGGAGAGAACTGTGATGGAGGGTACAGTTTGAACAAAAACATGAGGCAGAGGCAGACCTCCGTGAAGGTGGATACAAGTCACTGAAGATGCACTGGCTAATGACTACAAAAAGAGAAACGTTCAAGGAATTCCGTGACGAGAACGACATACTGTAAAGAACCTGATGATTGATGATGTCTGTACTGGAGGACACTGTAAAGCCCAGGACAAACAAGAACAGATAACATGTTAACAATACAGAATCTAACAGTAACTGACCACAGACAGATGTGCATACAACAGCAGAAAATATATATGGGATCCTGGATTAGATAATAACAAACAAGAAACAAACTATCACAATGGTTAATTGATCCAGACAAGTAACTTTGTATACATATGCAAGAAGCTGTGGTATTACACTGGCAAGCAAGCTTGTTACCTACCCAGTGGTCATGAGTTCAAATTCCAGAGACATTTTTTACAGATCAACCAAGCCTACAATAAGTACCAGAAAATTCCCATGGAAGTAAAGGTCAACCGCATAAGACTGACCATATCATCCATTTAAGTGCCAGCTGGTAATAAAATATGGTGAAAGCGTTATATATTTTATTCACCTCATGGCTTGAAAATTGATTCTTGACTTTCTCTTCTTAAATTACATAACACACACCAGGTAGTATGGAAACAAACACATGTCTCAGAGCTTCAACTGGACAGACAGATATGTGATTTTTCTCAGAGAGGCCTCAATTAAGTGATTTTGTGAATTCTTGTTTGTAAATAAAACACTGTCTGTTCATATCCTGTGCTGATGAAAGCTTTCTAGCTGCAACACTCACCTGTTGTTTGCGACTGAGATAATTGGAAGATGACTAGTTTTTTACTGTTTGTCTGGTTTGACATCTTTCCACACGTGTCAGTAGGCAGTTTTATGCTAATGTTTACAGTAATTTAAAAAAAACAGAAAAAAATACCACACAATTAGTCAACTAGTGAATACACTGGCTCTCCTGTCTCAGTGTTGTTTCAATGTTACTTGTATCTCCTTATCTTCATTCCTCTCAGCTCTGTTTACCCAATACCTCTCTTTCTGTATGACAAACATCTTGTGAAAACGGTCTTCAGCACACAGTCACAAGAACTGATTGGGAAATGTCACAGTGACTAACTGTATGTACAGCAAACATCATGTCTTTATGCAGACAGCATAGTGGAAGTAAAGATCTGCTGTAAAATCTGTGGCAGATTTTTGGTATCCAAGCAGACATAGGAATGACCCATGGGTAGCTGTTTGTTCAACCTGACAAAATTAAAATTAAAAAGCAGAAAATGTACAAGAACTTATATTTGATACAGTATATTTAAAGCATTTCTGCAAGAACTGTATACTTAATATCTTGCAACTTATATTTAATACAGTATATTAAAAGCCTTTGTACAAGAAGTGCATATTTAATATCTTTCAACTTATTTCTGATATAGTCTATTAAAAGGCATTTGCACAAAAACTGTATACTTAATATCTTTCAACTTGTTTGTTTGTTTTAGTATCCAGAAGCCATGAGTTGTTAAGTAGGCTCGGTATTATGGATATCACAACCTTTCGGTCTTGATTCCATTGTAAATACTGTAAATCTGGGAGAAATGTGGCTTTCCTGCCTACCCCCGGGATTGAACCCGGACCACAAGGAGTTTGTCACCCGGTCTCCGCACTATCCGGTTTAGCCAACTACGCTAAAGAGCCGGGCAATATCTTTTAACTTATATCTTTCAACTTATATTTGATATATTAAAAGCATTTGTACAAAAACTGTATACTGAATATCTTTCAAGTTATGGTTGATATAGTATATTAAAATCATTTTTTTTCAGGAACATTCTATGACTGACCTAGGCCTCCAAAGTCGACCCAGCCTAAAATGGCTACCAGGTAATATCACAGGAAGTAAAGCTGTCTGAAACTTTCTATACCGTCTTATCTTTCTAACTGGCTCCAACTGGCCCAAGGGACAACGTCCAATACAGCATTTTCAAATATTTGTTAGCTACAGTCCTTGATGCCACAGCTTTTGTTGTTGCTAGTATTCATTTTCTGTGTTCACACATGTGCGAGAGCTTTAACAGACCAGACAGACATGTGCAGTTCTCTTGCAGATACTTCAGTTAAGTGATTCTGTGTATTCTGGTTTGTAACTGTCATCAGCATCATAATCATCATCAATTTCCAAGATATCTTTTCATGATATGTCTATGACATTGGGCAACCCACTTTAAGACCAACCCTTCCTGCTTGGTGGCCTCTTATGACATGGAAGATAGTGTTACTATTCTGTGCTTCTCATAAGAGTTTTCATTACACATATGTGTATAAGTAACACAATAAACATAAAATTATGGGTGGTGAAATTACATATTTTATGACATTCAGACTGCATTTATTAATTGCCTGTATTCTTCTATTTTAAAATTTCTTAGTTTCCTCCTATGCAGCTCTAAAACATGTCACTAATTTGAAAAAAAAAAAAAATTAATAAATTAAAAAATAGCAGCTTCTGAGATGTGGTATTATTGCAGGACGCAAAATGTGAACAGATCAAAAAGTAGACCAGATGAATAAATTCTCCACGATGCAGAAGAAAGACAATTTCTAAAAAGATGAAAATACAAGAAAGAAATAACCAACCAATGAAGATGGAGGTACATTCCTCCATACATTCTTGCTTTTGAAAAATTATGAAAGTAGTAAAGAAAAGCGGATAAAAAGGTGAGGGCTGCTAACCTACCTCTTTTCACCTATTGAAATGCGCATGTGGAATGTAAAAACTGTGTATGAATTGGGAAAGAAGGTGGAACGACAGAGGGACTAAGGTGAATAAGATGGAGATGACAGAGAGTGAGCTGCAGGCAAACAACAGAAAAACTTGGCTTGGCTTGAGGCCTACCTTCAATAAAGGGAAGAAGAAGAACAGCACAAGATAAGAAAAATGACAAAAGGCAGAAGGATGACAGAAAAATCATCAGTAGATCTCAAACAATATTAAACTTACCTGATAGCCTGATCCCCAAGTGATCCTATAAAAATTGCATAAGCATTCACATCCTCATTCCCAGTGAGAATCTCTCCAAATCGTGATGGGCGAATGCCATAGCGGTCAAAATTGGCATCACTGAGTAGAATCACAAAATGCTCATCTGCTTCCTCCTGGGCAAGAGCCTTGATGTGATGCTTGGCTGCCTCCAGGGTGTTGTCTCCGCTGATACAGAACTGAGCATGGGCCAGCATCAGCTTCAGCACGTTCAACCTCTCCTTGTTGTTCTTGGGAGGCTTGCCCATCTTCACAAACTCTTCCATGTAGGTTTCCCCAGAATGGCCAAATATGTCATACTGTTGGTTAGTAGAAAGTATGTTGGCATTCATTTCCATATACACTCTCATTCTTCTTGGCATTCACCCACCGGCTGTAAACTCCGGCAGAAATTTCTGGTTGTTCATCCATTTCTGAACTTTAGTCTTGTTCCAGAATATGAGTTGTGCGTGCAGATTTGTTTCACAGATCTGGCTTATCTGTATGTAGACTGTTGGTTTCTTGCTTCTCAGGCAGATGCACTCCAACTTGGAAGAAAACACTCATCATTTGTCCAATTTTTATGACATGCTTGTTAGGTAAGGCAGTGGCTCTATTCTCTCCCCCCCCCCTTACAACATAATGGGATCATGGAACCCACTGATTAACACCTTCTGACACTGTCTGCCCCTTGCTTTGGAGATTATGAATGTGATTTCAGACTCCAGCCTTCACTTGGTGAGTGCAGGTGATTAACTGAGGATGTTGGAGGTAGGGAGTTTTCTGTAATGCTTTCAGCAAGCAAACAGCCGCTCTTCAGATGGAGGCTGAGCCATCTGGGCTAAAACTCTGTGCAATAAGTTGTTATTGTTGTTGTTGTTGTTCTTCTTCTTCTTTTCCTCCTTCTCTTCCTTCTTCTTCTTCCTTCTTCTTCTTCTTGTTGCTCTTATTCTTCTTTTTGTTGCTCTTATTCTTCTTCTTTTTCTTCTTCTTCTTCTTTTTCTTCTTCTTCTTCTTCTTCTTCTTCTTCTCATCCTCCTTCTTTTCCTCCTTCTCCTCTTATTTCTTCTTCTTTTCCTCCTTCATCTTCTCCGCCTTCTTTTCATCCTTCTCCTTTTTCTCCTTCTTCTTCTTTTCTTCCTTTTTCTTCTCCTTCTTCTTCTATGTTTGCACTGAAAAGGATGATTTGCATGTTTCGTTCACAGCAAGTCTGCTACATCTGCAGCTTTCAGCTGAAACTAACTGATTTGAGCAAATCTGTATTTGAGATTCAAAACTAAGAACTTTGGGCCAGCATAAATGATATTCCTTGGTACCAATTTCAGGGCACGGTCGATCTATTAACCCCAGTAATTTAATCCTTTTGCCCCGAAAGGCTGAAAACACCAATACTTCTGGTCAGGTCCAATTTTCTGTGAATGTCTTTTTTCTGACCTGACTACAGTGACCGGTTTATGAGAAACATAGTTAATGCTACTGGCTGTGTTCATGCCTGCACACATGTTTAGTAGGTCAAGATATTAATATATTAATTAACTGAGTGGGGGCGTGGCTGCCAGGGTCCTGTGAGCTAAATGGCTTTTTTGAAGCCAAGTTAATGAGAGATTTTCTCCTAAACCTCAGTGACAGAGGTTACAGGGTCATGACCCAATACATGTGTCTTTTAGGTTCAAATGTGTTGTATAAGTTGGTCTACATTTCTTTAAGGCTGTTCTTGATGCCATCTTTCCATATTCTGTGTTGTCTTTCTCTAGCTCTGTCTGTCTGTCTGTCTGTCTGTCTGTCTGTCTGTCTGTCTGTCTCTCTCTCTCTCTCTCTCTCTCTCCCTCTCTCTCTCTCTCTCTCTCTCTCTCTCTCTCTATATATATATATATATATATATATATATATATATATATATATATATATATATATATATATATATATATATATATATATATATATATAAAATGAGTATAATTGTTTGTCTTGTGTAAACACTAGTTTGAAGTTGTCTAACCTTAAATTTCTCCTCATATGCTTCAAAGGCCTCCATCACCATTAAGACAGCTTCCATCTCTCTGGTCAGCCTGGCGTCATGCCCGTCAAAACGATACATACTCCCTGACACATCCACCAGCAGACGTAAACGCTTTGGCCGCTCTTGGGGTGATCCCATCTAAAAACATGTATTATTTATATCCAGAGCATGTGAAAGAAATGAGTGTGCATTTCAGAAGGAAAAATAAAAGACTCTTTTCACACCAATGGTGCGAGACTAATACTTTGTACTGAGCAGTGATGTGGTCAACACTATGCAAGCCTTCTTTACTTCCCAGGACATTACCTGGCACCTTTTCTAGGCTGGGTGAACCTGAGAACCAAAGTCAAATTTTTTTTCAAATTCACCTTGACGCAGACTTGAACCCAAGACCTTTGGGCTGGCAGTTGTCTAGCTGCTGCACTACTGTGGCTCCCCATTTCAGAAGGGAACAATTTTCATTCTTTGGGAAAACAAGAAAAGAGAACAACTTGAGTATGGCGTCACAACAGTAAACAGAGGCAAGGAGAGGCAAACATTCAGACGGTCTGACATCCTGGCATGGGCCTGTGTATTATACATTACTGGCAAAATATGAGGCAGAAGGTTGTGGACAGAAGGAAGACTTACATATCATGACATGGACTATAATGACATGGACTATAAGAACAGGATTGAGGGAAAAACACAATTAGTGTAATTTATGTGCTAATTAAGCAAAATAATTTACAAATACTTTCTGCGAACTATCCCATTTTTTTTCTTGGCTAAATAAAGAGGTGATGACATAATACATAAAGAGGTGATGACAGTAATATACAGACAGATTAGAGGGTCACTGTGGTCAAATGGTCAAGGTGTTTGCCCTGTGCTCGTGTCATGGCCGTATCAATGGGCTCATGAGTGTAATTTTAAAGAGACTCATAAAGATGGTCACCGGAGCTATAGTGTTTATATTTTATGCACTGCTCTCATCAGGTGGCTAGCTGTTTTGCAGTGAGACCGAGTTATATAGGATAAAATCTGACACAATGAAGTCAGCCCTCTCGAGGTTAACCTTTAAACCATTTTAAGATACATGATTTTCTTCTGCCTTTTTTTTTCCAATGAATTATATAGGTCCTCAGTCAACTTGTATCAAGATGTCACATCTTTTGCTATCACATGCCCTTCCTATGTACTTTTTTTATTGTTTTTTAAAACTCATTCTTCTCCATTCTGGTTTGCCTTTATTTCTTTAATCCTGTGGGTTCAAGTGCAACCACATTAAAGTTAAAATGCTATTGGGTTTATGAACACATAAATTTAGCAAAAACATGAGGCAGTAAAGTCAAAAGCACAACAGGCATTCACTGGATTAAAGATGGAGAACAAGCATATCATTTATGAAGCAATAAACGAAAGTATTATGTATTGTCTGAACTAAAATAAGTTTACTCTTTCATTACCAGGTATGTGTTATTTTAATTCAATTGTTCTAAGAAGTTTTTTTTGTAATCAGTGTTTGCATCTGAGCAGTTACAAAATAATATGATAGGACTGAAGCAGTTAAAATAAGACTGGAAACAGAGTGGGTTAGTGTAGCAAGCAAATGTCTCATGGGGGGGGGGGGGGGTGGTGGGGTTAATAAAGTAGATAACAGATAATGTCAGTTGGCATCAACAAACACGTGGTGAGTCCTTAGTATTTTATCATTTCATCAAGTCTTTTTTTTTTTAAATGAATAACTTATTTGCATTACCTCCGGCTCCTTTTCTCCTCTTCTCTTGTATATGCTGCTCTCTCCAGTCAAGCCATCTATGAGCTTAGCGTCGTCCAAATCTCCGTGTGACTGATGTTTCAACCACTGACGCTCTTTACCTTTGGCCTTTAGAGTAATTACAAACTGGTTAATTCTCAAAATAAAAAAAAAAAACAAGTCTAACTAAATAAAATGGAGAAGCATTAGTTCAGTGAGTCTAACTAAATAAAATGGAGAAGCATTAGTTCAGTGAGTCTAACTATATAAAATGGAGAAGCATTAGTTCAGTGAGTCTAACTAAATAAAATGGAGAAGCATTAGTTCAGTGAGTCTAACTAAATAAAATGGAGAAGCATTAGTTCAATGAGTCTAACTAAATGAAATGGAGAAGCATTAGTTCAGTGAGTCTAACTAAATAAAATGGAGAAGCATTAGTTCAGTGAGTCTAACTAAATAAAATGGAGAAGCATTAGTTCAGTGAGTCTAACTAAATAAAATGGAGAAGCATTAGTTAAGTGAGTCTAACTAAATAAAATGGAGAAGCATTAGTTCAGTGAGTCTAACTAAATAAAATGGAGAAGCATTAGTTCAGTGAGTCTAACTAAATAAAATGGAGAAGCATTAGTTCAGTGAGTCTAACTAAATAAAATGGAGAAGCATTAGTTCAGTGAGTCTAACTAAAAAAAATGGAGAAGCATTAGTTCAGTGAGTCTAACTAAATAAAATGGAGAAGCATTAGTTCAGTGAGTCTAACTAAAAAAAATGGAGAAGCATTAGTTCAGTGAGTCTAAATAAAATGGAGAAGCATTAGTTCAGTGAGTCTAACTAAATAAAATGGAGAAGCATTAGTTCAGTGAGTCTAACTAAATAAAATAGAGAAACATTAGTTCAGTGAGTCTAACTAAATAAAATGGAGAAGCATTAGTTCAGTGAGTCTAACTAAATAAAATAGAGAAACATTAGTTCAATGAGTCTAACTAAATAAAATGGAGAAGAATTATTTCAGTGAGTCTAACTAAATAAAATGGAGAAGCATTAGTTCAGTGAGTCTAACTAAAAAAAAATAGAGAAACAGTAGTGCAGTGATTAGTGCACTTGCCTGCCAAGACTGTGGTCAAGGTTTAATCCAAGCCAAAGCAAGAAAACTGTTTCTGACTAATATGGCTCTGGGTTAACCCAAATTCACAAAAATAAGTGATTTTGTTGCAAATCCTTTATATCAATGTTCTTCAGCCCATGGGTGTGGCCCCAGTAAATTCTGCCTAGTCATGTAACAAGAAAAGAATATCCATTTCTGAGTTTATAGAGCCATTTGATTGTAGGTCATTTGTTTTTGTTTAAAAAAAAAAAAATTTTTTTAAACACTATTTTACACAATTTGTTTTTGTACCCTATTTGTGTAAAAAGATTTTCTCGGCCACGTCAGTAATAAAAACATATCAGAGAAATCAAATGCATGTCACTGCAGCGCTTTAAATCAGAAAAAAAACATCTATTCAGGTTTATCTGATTTTCTAACCTCTAGGCAGCAACAGATGTCACATTAGCTGAGAATTGTAAATTTGTGACATTGCACTTATCAAATCAACTGCTGTCTATGTTTGTTTTGGTGTCTGTGTTTGGTTGTCAGGTGGGCCGCAAAATAATTTCCCCCCTTTTTTTGGACCGCAGGGGTAAAAAAAGTTGACAAACACTGCTTTACATCATCATCCTGCAGTGCCTGTATACATCGCATAAGGCTTACAGTCTAGTCTAGTCTTCAATTACACCCTATTTTCTGCAATCCTTTTCAATATCATGGATACAGTCCAGTCCAACATTCTTAGCTTCTCTCAGAAATGTTGGTCTTAGGTTTTCTCTTGGATATCCTCGCTTTCTTAATCCATGTTTTCCCTCCTTCAGTTCTGTTTGGTGGTTCTCTGTCCATTTTTATTCATAAAGGGCCCAATTGTCTGCCTTCTTCTTTGTCTGATAGTTGTTGATACCAGCACATGTCTAGACATTTCTCTGATGTCTTCATGTTGCTTGAATTCATCCCATTTAATATCCATCAATTATCTCAAGCAATTTGTTTTCGAATACATGTAATTTCTGCTCCATGTCTTTAGACAACACAAAATAACCCCTGCATTTAAAGGCTATTTGTAGTTTCCCTAGGCACTATTACTGTTCAGCAACTTGCGGTAAAACTAACGTTAAGTCTCCCCACGGACTGCCCGTATACACACTAGCCCACTTCTGATTGGTAGTTCCTGAGCCCCGTGACTTTCCCACAAGGTTACGGGGGTGTTCGGCGATAAGTTTTGGGAACAGTGTCTGCTGCTACGACTGTAAAGTCATATGTGGAAGTGGCAGTCTCTGCCAAACAGACTACATACAAATGTAGATTTTCTATTATAGTGAAGCTGGTTACTCTCAGAAGTCTCCTCTCAAAAAGCTTGCTGTGTTAGGTCTCTTGCAACAGTCTGTGTGGTTTTTTTTTTTTTTTCACTGTTTGCCCGCATAGGAGTCTGTCTGCAGCTGATCTCTCCCAAATGATCATGTCAATTGTGGTATCTTTCAGGTCACATTTGCATATGTCCTTACAGTGTAGCTTTGGCCTTCCTGCAGATTATTTCCCTATTTCCAGTTCACCACATAGGAGATCTTTTGGAATACGTCCGTCCTCCATGTAGGCATCAACAGTAAAAAAAATCAGGATTAATCAGGGAAGGAGAGGTGATGAGAAATGCAGCAAGTCACTCAAAAATACAGTGCAGATCTGATAAGAAGAAATCACCAGGGACACAAGAACTGGTTCTTCTTATGAGAAATTCATCTTATCCAGACAAGAATTCAAGCAAGAAAAATTGCAGGGGATAATCAAATTTTTCTTCACAACAGAAATTTGCCACAACTATGACTGCTTAAAGCGGTCTGCATTGCAACATGGTCTAGAATCTGTGAAAGCCTAACACTTCACATTCCAATGGCAGCATACATAATGAGAAACCCTATGCCATTTTTGAACTAAACAGTTTATAAGTTTTTTAAACAGATTTCAGGGTACAATACTTAAAACAAACTACTCAAATATTTAAACAAAAATACATAATGTTCAAAGACAAAACACTAACATATCCAAAAGGTTAGTTGTGTATCCTTTACAGGACATTGCATAACCAACCCCAACAGCCCCTGGCTGTTGTGTGGTTTTTCTAGGCAAATTTACGTCCAGTAGTTTGCCATTGCTTTCTGGACGGTCGGCTTTCTTGATACCACTGTTGAAACCAACGCAAGGCTGATGGCCCCCAGCTGGGATCGAACCCGGCATTCTGGCATTACGAAATGTTTGCATCAACTTAGCCACAGAGCTGGCAACATATCCAAATACTAGAGCAATATTACGTTTAGTAGTTTGCCATTGTAATGGTAAAAAAATAGGTATGAGACAATTTTCATAAATATGTGGAAATTGTATGGAAAGGAAAATTGGACTACCCCTGCCTTTTTGAAAACTAAATACACAATTTATGAGTTTGCATAAATATTTAACCATAGGAAACAAAACCTAAAACAAACTACACAGGCACCCAAAGGCAGCAAATTCAAATATTTGAAAACACAACAAAATATAATGCTCAATGACAACACACTAAAATATTCCAAACACTAACTGTCCTCAAATGTTTCACTGTGGTATTTTGAGAGACAACTGTTGACATTCAACAACCAACATTCACAGGTCTGGACCCCAGAGAGTGCTGCACAAACATGTGCTAAACTAACAAGTCTTGTTATGAGGGCTATCAGGACAAACATGAACAGACACAAATATGACAGCTAGGACAGTTCAGTGTGTCACTAGTGCATAGAGCACAAGTATAACATTTAAAATTAAAATGTTTTCCTTCTATTTTAAACAGAAAACATTATTTCCTGGAATTATAGCCATGGCCTCCATCTTTGAGTTGATGCTGTTTTCATTCATCACCATCAGCCTGCTACCCGACTCAGTGCGATAGAGAACTTATTTTTAGAAGTAAACAAACTCATTCGAAATAAACAGTGTGATTATGAAAAAGCAACATCAAATAGTGCTGGAATTCGTTTTCAGAATGTGACAACCCATTTTTTAATTTTTTACTTTTCAAGTTGCAATAAAATCAGTTTTAACATTATGGTGAATATAAAAATATTTGGAGGATAATATGGAACAATTTAGTATGTTCCAAGAACACTGATGATAAGAACCAGAGAGTTTAGTTCCGTCTCCACAATGGAGATTAGCTACAGTGTATCATTGTTCTCTTTGGGAATATTAGGTGGTGAGGCCCCAATCTCTTCTATGGTGTGACTCTCATACCACTGTCCCAAAACCATGAGAGCAGATTTTTTACCCGTCCATTCTGGGGAACGAACCACAGTACTCAAGGGTCATGAAATTATTAACCTCATTCGCTAGCCTTTGAGCCACAGAGCCACAGGATGACAGGAAACACATAATTAAAATGTTTGCTTTCTATAAGGAGCATTTATATGAAACCTGTTCAATGCTTTTATTTTATTATCAAAGCATGAAAGACACATTAACAGGTGTGGCAGAATTAAGGAAACCATTAATTACAAGTGAATGAATTATGCATGAGTTTGTCAGAAAAAGTCGCTGTAAGCGCTGAGGCAAGCATCTCATTGCTGGGGTGAGCCATTCACACACACACACAAAATATTGTGGATGATCACTGAACAAAGTGTTTTACCACTCTCATTATGTCTGTTTCTGAATGAAATCATTGCCCCCTGGAAGTCTTTTTAGAAGTCACATGACAACAAATTAGGACTATAGGCTGGATGTTGCAGAATTTCTCACTCCTTCCATGCTAACGCTTCCTGCGACATGCAGACAAGCAGAAGCGGGCAACAAACTCGCCCACATGAAATCATGCCAGGACATTCATTCTTGATGGATTTATATAGCTTGTCTAGTTTTCCAAATAGGGAGTGATGCTGACACCAGATTCTTTAGTCTGCCAACAATAGCCCTTTGTGGTTTTAAAAAAAAAAGGCTCTGATCAAAATCTTACTAGCAGAAACCTGTAACAACTTGTTTTGCCTTTTGGTGATCCAAAATTCATTCTTTGCATGCTCTCTCTTTTGCTGCTTGCCTCAAAGTGGTGAAATCATGATTCATTGTCCACCATTATGCTTTTGCAATGTTTATTTGTATAAATAATAATAAGTTCTTCAGTATGCGTTTTAAAATGTATAGGGGTCATTGCAAAATTTCACACACAAAAAAGGAGTTTACAGGTCATAGCTAGGTAAGAACCACTGCTCTGTACTAGTTGCTAATGAACACAAACTGTTGACAATTAAAACATACCTGAAGTGAGTCCAAAATGACCCTGAGACTTTGAACCTGCCTCCTGACACTAGCAGAGTACCTCTCATACAACTGACCATCATACTCGCTCATCTCAATCTCTTTCAGTCTGTGAAATCGAAGCAAAAGACTTGCAGAACATGTAATACACAGAGTTCAGTCTGTGAAATCAAAGCAAAGACACGCAGCACAGGTAACATACAGAGTTCAGTCTGTGAAATCAAAGCAAAGACATGCAGCACAGATAACACACAGAGTTCAGTCTGTGAAATCAAAGCAAAAGACTTGCAGAACAGGTAACATACAGAATTCAGTCTGTGAAATCAAAGCAAAGACATGCAGCACAGATAACACACAGAGTTCAGTCTGTGAAATCAAAGCAAAAGACTTGCAGAACAGGTAACATACAGAATTCAGTCTGTGAAATCAAAGCAAAGACATACAGCACAGGTAACACACAGGATTCAGTCTGAAATCAAAGCAAAGACATGCAACACAGGTAACACACAGAGTTCGGTTTGTGAAAAAAATTATCAGTTGCCATAAACTGGTTGAATGGATAAGAATGCTAGGCTTTCATTCGTGAGTCCCAGGTTCAATTTCTTGGTAAGATCATGGACTATTTTCTGTCGGGAGCAAAATTAAAATCCTAACCTGCACAGTCTTTGGCAACAACAGTAGCCACGCAACCCCAAATCCTCCGACCCAAAGACTTTCCTACCTACACTACAAAATACAAGCAGTAATTGGCAGTCTAAAAAAAAAAAAAAAGCCATATTCAGAAATAAAAACAATGATGCTTTTCATGTCACTGGCACAGCAACAATATGCTGCTAGACTGATATTTGTATAGACCAAACTGACATATCAACATCACATCAGTCACTTTTATTTCCTATGCATATCTTGGTAACCATTTTAGGCTTTCTTCTTCTTTGTTTACCCGCTGTAAGCTCACGTGGAAAGTCCTGGTTGTTCGTCCATTTCTAGACTCTATGCCAGGGTCTGAGTTTTGCGTGTACATCCCTTTTACAGCTGAATTGTGTGCAACTGGTTCTTCCTTGCCGCTCGGGCAGATGCACTCCGACTTTGAAGTAGGCCCCTAATTAGTCGACTCCTACGACATGCTAACTGGGGAGGCAGTGGGTGTGTCCTTTTTTGCCCCCAACGGGCCCAGAAACACAAAAGGGTAAGGCTGGTTTGACCTGGGAGCCTAAGACAACTACACAAAATCCTCAGATCTAAAATAGCAAGGCTTAAAATCATGTTAGTATTGTTGGTGTTCCTGCTCACTAAACTACGATCAAATATACCAGAATTGTTTGCGTCTGTGGCTTAGGCACTGCAAACATGCTTTGTCATTCGAGACATCTGGTTCAAATCCAGCTGTGGGTGATTTGGCAGTAGACTATTTTGCATCAATTCTGGCAATGGTATCGAGAGCTATCATTCAAAAAGCAACGGCAGACTACTGAATGTAAAGCTTCCATTTAAACGAAACAGACTAAAAATGTTGTGGCTGCTTCTGCAACTCCTGTAAAGGATAGGAAATTAGGAAAAAAAATAGACCAAATACACTAATAAAGTTGCATACAAGAAAGCTTAGAGACAAATCTTTTATATTTATTTGCATTTAATGAGGAATGAACTGAGACTACTGATTTGACTCTTTAGCTTTTATATAATCATTAAATAGCCTACAATCTTTAAATCCATACTAATCCCATGGTGGGGGGAGAGGAGGGGGGGGGGGGGGAGGGAATAGACCCACTGCCCCCTAACAAGCATGTTCTAAGAGTGGACTAATTATGGATATTTTTTTCCCCAAGTCGAAGTGCATCTGTCTGAGAACCAACAGTCTGCATAATAACAGCCAAATCTGTAAACATTAAAGTTCAGAAGAGGACGAACCAGAACCTTCCACTGGATTTACAGCTGGCGAATGAAAAAGAAGAAGAAGAAGAAGAAGAAGAAGAAGAAGAAGAAGAAGAAGAAGAAGAAGAAGAAGAAGAAGAAGAAGAAATACATTAAAAAAAATATACAAATACTGAGTAGGATTTCTTAAAGATAGAAAAATAAGTGAAAACTAGAGAACACACAAGACAAAAAATGAAAACTATCTTTAACTATTTCAGCACCAGACAAGTCACTATATTTTTCTTGGTCATTCCCAAGATAATATGATGTTCTTGCTGTCTTCTTTGCAGACAGATGTCCCTTTATATTTCAGCTATTAGTTTAATTACTTGTGTCCCATCAAACTCAGTAAAATTCTGAGAAGTAAAGGTGGCTGGCAGGATGCTGACCACATCCCCCCCCCCCCCCCCACCACGCAGTGATTGGTCTATAAAAATGTGATTCTAGCATTATACATCAAATGCATGTCTGGCATTAAAATGATCCTTTCAATTTGTCCTATAGTGCCTGTGAAATCTTTCAAGCTCATCTTCTTGAAACAGAAATGGTTCAAGTAACAACTGCTTGGGACTATAACAATTAGATCCTGTATATTTACCTCTGTCTGTAAGCCTTCTGGGCCATTTCTCTGGCTGCAAGTCTCACCTGTAAATAAAATGTGATTCTTCTTAGTCTGTTAACATTTCTGGCTTTTTCAAAATTTTATTTATTAAACAATTAACAATGTGCACCTCACGTGACAATTATATTTCAGCATCATGATAAGATGTCTTAGAAGAAATGCCAGAGTTACTAGAGAACATAAAATTAAAAAGGAAGAATTCAGAAGAGGACTATGACCAAAACCTATCATACAGTTCACTAAAGAGCAATAGATGAGATGGTTTGCTCAGGTCAGGAGAATGCTAAGATACCAAGTGCCACAGACACCCCTGCTGAAGAAATATAGGTGCTTTATTATTATCCTACCCCAGATGACTTCACAGGACAGTCCAACATTTTATAGGGTGGTAAGACTGGTATTCCCGGCTTTCTGATGCTTTTAACGACCCCAAAACATCTAGAACAGGCCTTAACTCCCACCCACCTACGTCCCACGATAGAGTGCAGCCTAGGTCCCACGAGTGCAGACAGCCTAGGTCCTACAACTGCATACTGCCTATCTACCACCCCCTGAAATATTAGACTGTCCCGTGAACTGTGGATTTAACCTGTTTGGGGTAGAATATTAATAAAGCATCAAAATATAATAACCATAGAGCAAGACCACACAAATGCCAATAAAATGCAAACTGAAACAAAAGCAAGCATTTCCTTAGAATGCATGCACAAAATCAGATACTGGAGATCCAAACAACTAATGTTTAAAGTCTCAGTCAGGAGAAGAATGAGGTGAAGAACTTATTTGTACTGAATTAGTATAATAACTATATGTGTCTGAAGCATATCGCCTTCAAAGAAATCCTTCTGATTTAAAATCAAATTTTAATTTTTAAAAATCTAACTCACATTCTCTGGAACAGCATCCTTCTCCCACTGTGGAACCTGAAATACCTGGTGTCCAGCATCCAGTCTGTAAGGGCCACCGAACCCACCCAAACCTGCTGTCCCACTTCCTCCTGTTGAGACAAGGCAGGTCATCATATATTTATTGCACCAAAACAGTGTAGAGAAGCATCACTGTGGATTTTAGAAACGGAACTAGACAGATCTCAGTATATCAAGAGGTGAAGAAAAGTCAGCAACATTGAAAAGGACGAATAGAGAACCTGATCATAGAATTGCTTTATATTGCCAACCCTAGAACTCATTATGCATTTATATTTTTATATTTATATATATTTTCCTTTTTTGTTTTAAAAAAATGTTTGGTCAATTCTATCATGGTGGGTGACTGAGAGACACAGAGTTGAGGACAGCACCTTTGACTTCCCAATTTATAATGGGCTTAAAATGTTTTGGATACAAATATCCTCCTGCATAACTGTGACCTGAAGAAGACCACAGCAGTCAGAGGTTCCGGGTTTTTGGGTCTCTTTGGATATTTTATCCAGGGTATACAGGTGTGACAGGAAATGTACAGATAGATGGACTGGCTGGTTCTGCACCATTTGGTGGTTAAGTGATACATGAGAAGCAAGATGTTATCAAGGCTCTTTAGGAGCAAGTGAACAGTGTTATACTGTCGATTTATTAAAAACCTCAACAGACAACAGCAGCACAGAAGTGAAAATATCACTGAAGAATGTGGAAAATTAAAACTAGATGATAATTAATAATAAGGTACTATAAAATATCTTGGACACATCTTCACATCAGAAGGCAGATTAAACAGAGAGATCTAGTCCAGCAAGCAAACAGTGTTACCTATCAACTTTCCCCAGTACTGACACACCCAGCAATATCAATGGAAACTAAAAGACAAATCATAAAACATAATCTTTTACCAACATTGTGTTTCAAATGCCAAACCTGGGCATTAACAAAAGAATAAGAGTGGAAACTAATGATGTACGAACTGAGATGTTTAAGAAAAACAGTCAACTTAACAAGAAGAGACCATAAAAGAAACACAGATTTCATTACAATGGTGGAAACAACATCTGTAATTAGATATATTGAAGAAAAGAAAAGACTGGAATGGTTTGGCTAGTTGGACAGAATAAACCCAGCATCAACGTTTGCAACAGAATACAACATGAGAATGGAAACATCAAGAGGCAAAGGAAGGTCAAAAAGAATATGGATACATGGAGTTAACAACTTGCTGAAACTCAACAATACCACCATACAGCAAGCTAATGAGGACTCACTGTCCCTGAAACCTATTATGAGCCATTCCTGCGATACCTAATAGCATTAAGTAGAGAAAGACAATACATTTTTTTAAATATACAAGAAATGTAAGAAAATAAGAGGACTGGAGGGTTATCATCACCAATGTCTCATTAAGATCAGATCTGAAAGATGATGAAGAAAATCTGTGAGAATCTACTTTAAAACACTATAAAATCTCTCACAAAAGCAAGAACCTAATTTCAACTGTATGTTAAAAGTCTCAGTGGCACTTTCACTTACCTACACCACCAGCCCATGTTCCCCCACCCACGTGAGGTTGATTGAGTGGGTCTTCTTTGCCATGTTTCACATCTATGTCTTCATGATCTCTGCCACTTTCTCGTTCTTCATTCAGCTTCAAGAAAAAAATTGACAGCAAAAAAAGATAATTTTAGGTCATAGAAATAACAATAGACTGCAACTGTAAAGTCAGTGTCTAAGGTTTAGGGACTGTGAATGCAGTTTGATTTGGAAGCAGTCTACTTTGCATCTATTTTGGCAATAGTAAAGAGAGCCAACCATTCAGGAGCAAGAGAAAACCTGTTATTTGTTATCTGTATTGACATCCTAGCAGACAGGGCTGGCCAATTTTACTCCATCCTCTGATGCAGCAGCCAGCTCAGGGTCTCCATGCTGACAATACCCAGCAGGAGTCGACTGGCACATCTTCTTTCTTTGCCCTGCAACCTGTTTCTGTCATCACATTCACTATTCATCACCATGTGATTGTTTAAATAGGATGGTCAGTAACTACAATGGCGAACTACTCAATGTTAAATCACCCAGTAAACCACAAATAGCCAACAAATGCTGGGTCTTGTTTGCAATGTCCTGATGTCCAACTAACATTTAACAATATCATCATCATCATGTAGCAGGTCTTTTGCAAAAACCAGCTCTCATCACAGTCTGCCTGAAAGAAACTCGGTCTCTCGCCAGACTCCCCCCCCCCCCCCCCCCCCACCCCATGCACTTTCATATCCAAGGAGTTACTTATACCCTGTGCCCATCTTCATGTTTGTCAGGCCCCTGCCCCTCCTTCCTGGCACCATGACTTCTGCTATTATTTATTGCACTCCACTGTGGCGCTTGATAGGGCCAAAATATTTCAGCTTCCAATACAAGATGCTGTTTATTACCCAGCCTTCTTTGATGTTCACATCTTTTGGAATGTCAGTATACTATTGTTCATGGTATTTTGATAATCTTATGTCAGCTCGCAATTAACAACTGTAGGCTACCTAAATAATATAATAAAACTATGTTCAAATTTAATATGATTATTACTGAGGCAAAAGAACAAGAGAGAGACAAAAAGACATGCAGACAATCAGAACCAGAGATGTGGTGAACTGATACATGACAAGGCAGATGTGGTCAAGACCTTTTGGGAACAAGCAACGAAATCAGTAGAGAAACAAGATTATTATGACCTGGAGAGAATGAGGCACCTGGGTGTAACTAGAGGGTCTGGCCAGCTCACTTCATTCAGAGGAAAGAAAAGACAAGACATATAACCATATTGTGACCGGAACCATCAGTATTGGAACTCTGGGCTGGCTGCTGAAGATGAGGATGGAGCATGAATGGGAATATTCTGAGTGCTGTGATGTCAATTCTGGACTCAACTCAACTAAACCAGAGATGAATATTATAGGGACACAGAACATGTGGGTTATATCCTGTTTTTGTTTTACACATATAGGAATCTGACTAGATATTTAAACACTCTGTGCAGTATTAGTCAATCAGGTGCCATCTCCACAATGAAGGTTGGCTCCCTTTAATATTTGTGATGCCTCATGGTTTTTCATTATGGGTCATGTATTTCTTGAACAGCAACAGAGAAACTATCCCTTACTGGGGCTCATTACCATCAGGTGCCTTGCTAGCTGTCATAGGCTTTCGTGCATCTCCATGGATCTTAGTCTTTGGTGTTCTGGATCAGTTCCACTGATGATATTCCTCCATGCCATGGTCTCAAGCCATCCAACATTATTTCTTTTGGTCTGCTTCTGCCTCTCACAATTTTTGGACTGAAAGAGCTAATTATACGTAGACAAGATAAAGGTAAACATCATTCTCCTGGCTTTCTGACAGTGGTATGAGAGTCATACCATGGAGGAAACTGTGGCCTCCCATAAAATACTCCCAAAGATAGCCCATAAAATACTCCCAAAGATAGCAGTGGATGCATGTATCCAATGCAGCTAATTTCCCTTGTTAACAAAAAAAAAAAAACCTAAGACAAATGAGAGAGGCCAAAGATGTCAAAAAGGATTGCATCTATGAGACTAAGACAGCTGCCTAGGATAGAAGAGAACAGAAGAACAAACTGTGAACTTTATGTAATATATAATGGCACAACAGAATGATGATGATGATGGCAGTGGCCATTGTGGAGAGGCACTTTTTTAAAACAGGTTTACTTTACAGAGGAAACAAGAGTACAAAAACACAAATACATAGACCAGAGCTTTCCAAACTGTCGACTACATTAGAATAAGCTGCAGTTACAAGGTATGCTGCGTAAATATAATTTATATATGTGTCCATCAAAGAGTGGTTTGTGTAACTTCTGGTTTGCTGGTAGACAAAAGTATATTTGTCCAAAAAGTGTGCCATCAACATAACAAGTATGGAAAGCTCTGAGCCAGACACTTGAACACATACCTGGAGAGGTCTTGAATCCTCATATCCCAGCATATCTCGCCACTGCTTCAGGGATGTCTCCAGCTTCAGGGGCACTGTCTCCCACTGTCTGACACAGCCGCCAATGTCCACAGACACCAGGCCATCATTTGATGTTGGAGCAATGAACATGTTACAGTCAGAGTTGTTGAACAGCCAGGAAGCATAGGGGGAGATTCGTTTAGGACTATAAGAGAAAATGAGGTTGTATTACTGCATAAGTCTGTATCAGATTTCAACTTTTCTGCCTCATAACAGCGGTTTTTTTTTCTTCTTCTTTCTTCACTGGCTGTAAGCATTCCCAGTTATTCGTCCATTTAAACGTTATCTTTTAATGCCAAGGCCTGAGTTTTGTGTGGACATCCTTTTCATTGGCTTATCTCTGTGCAGCTGGTTGCTTCTTGCTGCTCAAGCAGATGCACTCTTAACTTCAAAGAAAGCTCAACATTAGCCGACTCTTAATGACATGCTTTTTGTGTGATTAGGGGGTGGGTCTATTGTTGTTTTTCTCACAATGGGGTTGCAGAATCCACAAGGGGAACTGCTGTTTTAAATGAATTCTTCCCATTGTTCTTCTTGGTACAATGTGTTGTGGTTTACAACTAAGCTACGATATCTACACATTTTGGCCCAACACATCCAATTTCAACAAACTCCAAATTAGTTGCCCTTTAAGACATGCTTGCTAGGGATCAGTGGGGTCTTTTTTTTTTCTTCTTCTCCAAACATAGATCTTGGATCCCCTTAGGAGGATAGTCTTTGATCCAAAATTGGGTGAATCACATTACAGACAGGTGCAAACGTATCCTGGATGTTTTACAGACCACGGCAGATATCCACACACTGCAGATACAGTTTGTGTTGTACAATCATGTGGATCTTCACCTTCTGGGAAAGTAAAGATAGTTGACATGATGGTGACAATTTCATTCTTTTGTGCTAAGTAGTCTAGAAATAAATTGAGGTTTGCATCACATGCCCGATATTCCCTATGTGGGTTCTGGGGGTCTCATTGGGGGGAGAACAAGAATAGACCCACTGCCTCCCCAACAAGCATGTCGCAAGAGCAGACTAATTGAGGGCTTTCTTCAAAGTTGGAGTGCATCTCCAACAGAACCAACAGTCTGCATTCTTATAAGCAAGATCTGTAAAACAGATGCACATACAAAACTCAGGTCCTGGAACAAAGCCAAAGTCTAGAAATGGATGAACAGCCAGGTCTTTACAGCCGTGGAACGCAAGCAAACAAAATAAGCCCAATATGTCCATGACATGAAATGGTTCTTTGACCAGAAATTCCAAACAAGATGTCAAAGGGTCCAGACCCTTACATATAAAATAAATCTGTTAAGACACCCAAACATAAGTAAACCCCCCCCCCCCCCCCCCCCCCCCCCCACCCCCCCCCCCCCCCCCCCCCCCCCCCCCCCCCCCCCCCCCCCCCCCCCCCCCCCAACCCATTCGGTACATCTTAGTTTCATGTTGACCTTGGTTTTTAATTAGCTCTGCTGACTTGTCCGTTGAGTTTCCAGTCACAATTTGTGCTGTATTTAGTATTCCTTGATAAAGACTTTGGTCGAAACATTCATTTGGTTGTGTTTGAGTGCGTCTTTTCCATTCTCTCCATTGAGCTTTGTACTCACATACTGTGTCATATTTAGCACTTCTTGACCACAAAGAAACAGATTATAAACAGCATGTTCATACTAAGACTGTGCTACCAATGCCAAACTTGCAAGATACATAAAATTAACACCTGTGAGAGGAGAAGACAAAGGAAAGTTGCCAAATTAACCCTCCAAAACAGTGTGAGAAATAATTCTGTGGGAACCTTGCATGAAATTCATTGAGAAGCAGAAGATTAAATGATTTGGTCAACTCATCTGTACACATCCAAAAAGTACCAAAACAGGAGCACACCCAAGAGGATCTGATGTGATAGCCAAAAGATGCTAAAGGAGAAGATAGATTGAGGAAATAATACAGTGGGAAAAAAAGCCTTCCATCAAACTGACTGAGAAGCAGAAGATTAAGTGATTCAATTATCTCATCTGTATGCAGTTAAAAACTACCAAAACAGGAGCCACATCCAAGGGGATCTGATGTGAAAGCAAGAAGGTGCCAAAAGAGAATACAGACAGATGACATTAAAGATATTTTACATCCACAGTAGCTAATGCTACCAATCAAGAAATTAACCATGAACTCTTTCTCCCCATGGCATTTAACAGCAAAAGTGGGATTAATGATGATATTTGATTTTACTTTGAATAGTCTGAAAACTGTTTTAACACTTTTGTATGTGTTAAATATACCACATAAAATGAGAATGTATCAATGATCACTCACGCAGGGACAGGAATATATCGCAACTTGTGACCAACTAGATCAGACACCTCCAGATAACCACTCAACTCTGCTGCCTTTTCTCCTGGAGCTTTGACATCTACAGGAATATAAATCAATATATAAATAGAAGTATCTTCTACTTTGCGTTCGGTTTCGTATGCCCAGATCAGACCGTTAGGTGGGTTGCCTCTATGAACTCGCATGTCAGTAGCAGGTCCTTCATGGTTCACCATAGTTTGCTCTGCACACTTTGCTCTTGAGGCCAGGTGAATAAAAGTATAACACTATAAACTGTTATGTTAAAACATCAACCAACAGACAAATGCGATAACATTAAGTGAGCAAAAGACCCTCTTTACGCCAGTGGCGTACTGGGTATTAGATGTTAAATTCATACTTTTACAGATCAGTCTGTGCTCGGTCGGGTCTGAGGTCAACATAATGCTTGTTGCCTTTACTTCCCAAAACTAGTACCTATTGTAGGTTGGGTCAACCTGGAAGCCAGGGTCAATTGTGAAGAACATCTGCCTCAATGTTGCTTTGAACCCTAGACCTTCGGACAGGTAACAAGTACAACCGTAATGTTAAAATATCAATTGAATCACATAAATCAACATATAAATAACTATAAATGTTAAAATGCAGTATTATCAGTCATTTAACTCATAGTTTCCACTGTAAAAATAAAATAATTTAAAAAAAAAGCCATAATTTTTAAATGTTTATATTTTGATGACAAAATTTAGGTTTTTTTTCTTCTTCTTGAAGTCAAAGCCATAAGGCATTGGTAATCCGAGTACAGATAGATGGACTCAAGAGCAAGAAAGTCTTGCTGTGCCATGCTGTTCCCCAAGGTGGTGTTTTGTCCCCAACACTGTTTCTGGTCTATATCAATGACCTAATTGCTGAACTACCCCATGGTATTAAAGCTGCGATGTATGCTGATGACTTAGTACTCTGATGCACGAATAAATGTGTAACAATGGCCACTCGACTGCTACAAAGATCCATAGATGTAATGGCTGCATGGGCTGATAAATGGTGTGTCAGCATCAACATAGACAAGTGTAGCACCACTCTCTTCACCCTCTCCCCAAAACAAAAATCAGGTGTCATTCAGATAATTAGAATACCACTAAGAGAGGATAAGGAGCCCACATACCTCAGAGTCACGTTTGATGATAGGCTAACTTGGAGAAAACACATCAACAAAGCAGCAACCAAAGCCAGAAAGAACATAGCTATCCTAAGAAAACTGAGTGGAACAACAAATGGGGCGCAAATGACAAAATACTTAGGAAAGTTTATCAACAAAGTGTACGACCACATTTTGAACACGGGTCTATTGCACAGAGTTCAGCATCAAAAACCACACTTCAAAAGTTAGACAAGATGCAAAAGCAAGTGCTCAAAGTCATAACAGGTGGGATGAAATCAACACCTATAGCTGTGATGGAAAAGATGGCCGATGACTTAAACACTGACAGAATGAAGAGACACTAAGATACTAATACAAGCAGAAAAGTTTCTTAGCATGCCTGAACATCCTATGAAAGAAAGATTCCAAAATCTAGCAATGGGGCGACTAAAGAGAAGCAGTTTCATCCATCAGGCCCAACGACTGCATGCAAACCAATGATCTGCCTGCAACTAATAGCCCCTTAAATGCTATTCCAGATCAGAGCTCTTGAAAAGAGGATAATAAGTTGCCAATACACATCCAGACAGAAGTAAAATACGTATTCGACAAAGAAGAACAAAACAGTGTGCAACGTAAAACAGCCACACTAGCTCTACTTGCTGACGAATACCCACATAATGTTTTAGTTCGTGTCTGTATGGATGGGTCAGCACAAAACGCAAGCAGAAATTGAGGGGCAGGAGTGTATATTGAGCATCCAAATAATATCAGATCAACAGCCAAAATACCTACCGGAAAGCACTGTCACAACTATAATGCAGAAGTTCAAGCCGTCAAAACAGCAGCAGAGAAACTGTTAAATAAACGTCATATTTCACAACCTGTGGTATTTCTGATAGATGCAAGAGTGGTGCTTCAGGCACTCCAGTCTGGAAAACTACCTGGTATACGAACACTACTCTCCAAACTAGGCAGCCGGTGTAAGGTCTCTATGCAATGGATACCATTCCATCATGGAGTTCCTGGAAATGAAACAGCTGATAAACTAGCTAAGGAAGGTGCAAATGAAGAACAACCTGACATACCAGTCTCTTTTTCAACAAAAGAAGAGAATTATCAAATCAATCAGAAAGCCACCAAAACTGGCACAAGACGATTGCCGTTTTATGGACAGAACAGAGCAAGTTATTATTCTACGCCTTAGAGTAGGACACGGTCAACTTCGCAGCCACATGTACACAACATTTAAAATCGGCAAATCAGCCATGTGCACATGTGGACTGGCACCTGAGACAACAGATCATGTCCTCCAAGACTGTCCCAAATATAACATATCAAGGCAACACTTTTGGCCAAAAGAAACATCGGTGCAGGTCAAACTTTATGGGTCTCTGAGTGAATTACAAAGGACAGTAAAGTTTATACTAGAGACAACATTGCAGATATAGATAATCTATTGCAAGCGAACAAAGGAAGAAGAAGAACAAGGTGAGTATTTGGTGGGAAAGTTATTTGGAAGATGGGCCTGCAGACCCAATTTGTGACCATGTGGAAGGAATAAGTTTATTCACTTGTTCCTTTATTCATTTTTCCTGCTGCCACAAAGTATTTTATCTTTTATCATGACATACCCAAATAGTGCAGATTTTGTGATGACGGTAATCAATTCTCTTTGTCTGTTAATTTCTTTCGAGAATAATATTTATGTAAAGAAGCATGGTATAAGGACATAAACTGTTATAATGACATGGAAGGTATCAGGACATAAACTGTTATAATGGCATGGAAGGTATCAGGACATAAACTGTTATAATGGCATGGAAGGTATCAGGACATAAACTGTTATAATGGCGTGGAAGGTATCAGGACATAAACTGTTATAATGACATGGAAGGTATCAGGACATAAACTGTTATAATGGCATGGAAGGTATCAGGACATAAACTGTTATAATGGCATGGAACAGTGTCAGGACATAAATGGTTACATGCTGTTGAAGAGCACAAGATGTGAAGAAGCACAAACCTCCATCCCAGTCAACAAAACATTTCTTTGTTTTCTTCTTCGGCATTCTGAAGCCTTAAGTTTATTGCTGCAAAAACACCCACCTCCATTCAACTCTATGACTGGTCACTCTCCAGTTGGTGACCCCAAATCTGTGTATGTCTGCCTGTATATTATCTCTACACATTCTTCTTGGTCTGCCTCATGGTCTTCTTCTTCTTCAGCATTCCAAGCCCTTGAGGTTCATTGCTGCAGATATCACCTGTCTCCATTCATCTCTCTGGTTAGCCTTCTCTTTCCAGTTGGTAACACCAAGTGTTTGCAGGTCTATCTGGATATTATCTCTCCATCGACGTCTTGGTCTCCCTCGTGGTCTACGACCATTCATCCTTTTTACTTTTCTGTCAATGACATTCATTCAATATGCCCCAACCATTTCAGTCTATTAGCTCTCATGATGCCAGTAATCAGTGGTGATTTAAACAGATTATGAATTTTGTTGTTGCTTCTCACTCTCCATTCACCGCTGTTTGCATCTTTGATAGGTCCAAAGATTCGTCGTAAGACTGTTTTCGAAAACCTGAAATAAGCTTCATCTCTTTTAGTTGTGATCCAAGTTTCAGAGTGACTCATGGTCTAATCCCATTAAACTCTTTTGTGTAAGCAATTCTGGTCTCTCTGTTATCTGCTATTCTCTATCTCTATATGCCCTAACTCCTGTTGCCGATTAGCACCAAAGCAATTATTGATCATCAAATCGTGTGTGTTTTGCTGACTGAGGACACTTTGTATGGCTACAGTATTCACTTGAAGTATCCAGCGTATCTGACGCAGTTTGTGGCTAGAATCACTGGCATAGGCGGTTGAGCAATTATGGGTCAAGCTTGTTTGCTGTGATGCCGTAACGACTAACTAACTAACTAGATCATCAACTAAAACTTACTGTCTTGCTTCACCTCATTTGGAATCTGCCAAGCAGGCAAGGCACGAACTACCTGGCCTGACTGTGGTAAGGAGACTAAAGATTTCTCCTTATTAAATGATACTGGTTGAGACTTCAGTCCAAATGTCAGATCTGACTTGTTGGTTATGGAGGTTTCTGGGAGGCGGGTGCGAGGAGCAACATGAACATCTACTTGATTCTATTGAGTAATGGATTTTGAAGAAAAAAAATTACATTACAAAAAACAAACAAAAACAACAACAAAACGAGGAGAAATGCATGAAGGAAGGTTAAAGTATCTCTTCATATATTAGAAAATTATTAATATATTATATTAATTATATATTACAAAATGCATAGCATTTTTTTTAAAGGAAAAGGACTTTTGTCATGCGTACTTTACTTTAATTACTTTACTGCATTACTGTACATTACTTTACTCAATTACATTTTATTTTGGTCAATAAAAACATTTTTAAAATATACATTCTTCTGCACATGCCCTTGAATGTGGCTGGTTGTGTTGTGGTTGACAGCAAGGCTGCAATAAATGCACCTTTCAGCCTAACACATCCATTTTCAGTAAACCTTTATTTAAGTCACCTTTTACAACATGCTTGTTATGGGGTCAGTGGGGACATTGCTTTCCTCCCCAAAAGTGTAACTCTAGAAAATCTATTTGATCTTATGTGGCTGGAAAAAAAAAGAACCATTCTCTGTTTTTAAATTCATCCTGTATATTGTGCCACATTTATTTTTAAAGGCCAACTGGCATTTGATGAGTGTGTGTGTCAATATCAGGCTGACTGCTTTGACTATCCAGGAAACTTAGTGGCACTTATTTTAGACTGGATGACATGGGAGACTAAATTAAATATAAAAACCCTACTCGATAAGGACTGGGGCCCAAGACCCTTGGGCCTGCAGGTTAACATCTACTCACAATTCTACTATGACTATTGATCTGAGCCTCAGAGTCTTGATATAACCTATCATTGATACATTCTATGCAACGTTTCAAAATTTATGTTTCTTCTTCTTCTTTTCTTCTTCTTCTTCTTCTTTTTCTTCGCGTTCACCGGCTGTAAACTCTGGCAGAAAGTTCTGGTTGTTTCTCCCCCCACATAATTTATTCTTGGTCCAGAACCTGAGTGCTGCATGCACACGCCTTTTACAAGTCTGACTTTTTTGTTGCAGATTGTTAGTTTCTTGCCTCTTAAGGCAGATGCACTCCGACTTCAAATAAAGCTCCCAGTTAGTCGACTTTCAAAACATGCTTGGGGCATGGGTCTACTCCTGTTTTCCCCCACAATGGGGCCCTGGAACCTACATGGGGATATGTTTTTCCTTAAAATGTTACTTCAATATTTACCACACATACACAGACTGGCAGGTTGTGCACTAATGGGTGGTGAATTGATGCATGACAAGCTAGATGTGATCAAGACCTTCTGAGAATAAATGAACAACGCGGAGACACAAATAGATCATTATGGTCTGGTAAGATTGGTACAGCTAGGAGTGACCAGGTGAGTACAGCTAGA